ACTTAGTATGAAGGCAGCGGTGGTTGGACACCTATAGATCCTAATGCTTACACAAGACGCCAGGTTGTTGGTCAATATGTTGACGGCGGTGTCAGCCAGGAGTGCCCCAGAACACCACACGTGTTCCGCGTAGCACTGAGCCCAGAACTTACGCTTTAACAATTCTATCTTTGACACTAAGATAGTCCCTGGACATATGAACCAAGTTGTGGAGATCGGCTAAAGAGAGCTATACAATGACGGTTTAAAAGAAGTTACTGAGCGGAAGAGACATGATTACGATGTACAAGTTATCTGGGTGTATTTGTACATGGCCAATAGAGAAAATATGTTCAGAAGGGATGGAATGAAGAATTAGAGGTAATACATGGAACTGTGCGCCAAATTTAGTTAGATAGATCAGAACAAACTCTTTCGGTACAATGATAGAGGGAGTTATCAGGGGAAACTGCCAAGCCATTACGACTATATAGCACTGGGAAGGAATCAGAATAGGAGTTTTGGATGGTACGGGGGGGGGGGGGGGAGGAATGATGCCTATCCACTTGGACGGTCGGGGATTGAACTCCGACCTGCACGAAGCGAGGCTGTCGTTCTACCGTCCAGTTCAAGTGGTTGGACGTGAAATGATAGAGTAACGCACTAGACAAGGGGATTGGTGCAGACGAAGTCCACGTAAGGGTTCAAATGCAAATGAAGGAAAACTAATTCCTTTGACATCTAGGCGGGGCCCTGAAGTTGGAACCGAGTGTTCATAAAACGTATATAGGTAAGCAGACATGTACACACCCAGCAGGTGTAGGGGGGGGGGGAGGTGAGGGGGCGGGTGGCGGCTCCACATAACTTCCCGGAGGTGAAACTTCCCCAACATTCCCAGGAACCCTCCAGGCCGTCCCTTAGTTACGCCGCGCCTCGACAGATGGCGCAACCACAGCCCACAAGGTCAAGTTCTATACTGAAGGTACAGTCGAGGTATTTTATGTTTTGTAATATAAGAGTTTTACAATAATTTATATATGTTTGTTTACGAAAGTTGGTCCCAATCTCCTGGGTCTTAAGCTTCGCTTGTTTGATAAAGATTAAGCCACCCAAGAGGTGGCACGGGCATGAATAGCCCGTAATCGATTCACTTGTGTTGATCTAAATCATGATCTTGACCCAGGACAACTGGGAGAGGAACCTTTGACAAGTCGCAGCCGACCCTTCGGGGTAGAGTCGGTCATGGTTAAACAACCATGACCTGAGGATGGATTTTGTAAAGTGCTTTACAATAATAAATTGGGGGTTTGACGGCTGGATGACGAGTATCTGACCGTTGTTTATGAAAACGAGCCTCACACTGTTGTGTTTCCCAGAGTCTAGGTCCTCTCAGTTCTAATCCTTTTATCTGATATTGAGCTAAAATCCTCACTTTCGACACTGTAAAAACAACAATGGTAAAAAATAGCTTCTGACGTTGACAGAGGCCGCACCACACAAGAGGAGCTGAGAAGCAGTTGCCAACACCGTAATACTATAACCAGTTAACTCGCTTACCTGACGCCTGGAGCACCACTTTAGCTGGGAAATCCACGACGCCTCAACTCTCAATGAGTCTCACAGCCTAGTCTCGCACCACGACGACCTGGGCGGCCATACATTTTTAGCATTTACTCTTAACCATCTGTAAATTGATTCAGTAAATGCGTTCACTATCGTTCATAAATAATATGCAGCTTCATAAAAAAATCTAAAATTCTAAATAACAGTATGGAAAAGTAATTATTAATACATAGTATTTAGACACTAATGCCCATAACGCTTCGGCCCAAGCCTATCAACAATCCGTTTTTAACCAGGATCTGCGCTGGTGCCACATTTTCAATCCGATAATTTGTTGTTCAATAATGTTCATGAATGTTGCCAGCATGAAACCACGAAAACACCAACAAATACTCATATATTTCACATTCTGACTGTAACATTTAAGATTTCGAGGGGTAGTAGGCTTTTAAACTATGATAATAGCTCACTTGAGGGTAATATATTGTGCAATCACATAGACCTACTTGTATCGACTCTTAGGTGTGTTGAAGGTAGGCCTATATGAAGGCCTACTGGGGAACACAATACAGAGTTCAATACATAATACAGTGGTGCTAATCCTTTATGTTAGGGAGGAGAGCCAGATGCCGTATCTCTCCGGCAGCAAGAGGAAAGGTCACCATACTCGCTCACTTAACCTTAGCTACTGTTTGTTCTGGCCAGTCACCGGATGGGTGACGATGTGGACAGTCTTGACCTTGGCTTGGTGTAGCATCTATGAACCTAAATAGATCATGCAGTGATCTATTTGTCCCCGACCATAGTATAGCTGTGTACTATCACCATCAATACTGCAACCGTAATTGATTACCATCTATAGAACTATAATTAACGTTATCAACGTTAATTCAACGTCATCGTTGTTAAATTTAGCGTTGAATTAACATTAGACGTGGATATTCCAACGGGGAATTACTGGATTTTTTGAAGCATTATAATTTTAAATAGCACTAATTCGGAGAAGTATTATGGATGAACCACAAACATTCAACAACAATCAGCTGCATCAGGTGTGTACTAAAATAGCAAAATTCTATTTTGCAATTTCCACTAATTGCAAAATAGCTAGTTCCACTAATCCACGCCACTAACACGCATAGCCCGAAACGCTATGCGTGTTAGTGGCTTTGTAAGAATGTAAAAATACCAGTCTTATGTAATCTCACCAACCCATTGTATCTTCTTGTGGATAAAATTATTTTTTATTGTTTTTATTATTAAAATACAGCGATAAAAATCTTCATAAGCCTCCCCTTTATTTGAACAGTTTTCTTTGACAAATATTTAAAGAAAATGTAAATACGTATAGTAATGACTAACTAAATTATGTGTTCCAAATTTAATTTTATTTATTTATTTATTTATATACAAGAAGGTACATTGGGTTTGTGAGCATACAACTTTTTATATTTATTTATATTGCTTTTAAAAAACCAACAGTGAGCCAAATAGCAATGTGTATGCGAACGTCTAGCACAGGGCGGTAATTTTAGTGCAGGGCCGGTAGTTCTACTACGACTATCTTTTTTTTTTTTTTTTGAGATATATACAAGAGTTGTTACATTCTTGTACAGCCACTAGTACGCGTAGCGTTTCGGGCAAGTCCTTAATCCTATGGTCCCTGGAATACGATCCCCAGCCGCGAAGAATCGTTGTTAGATTAACTACAAGTGAACGAGGAACATTGAGAACCAAAACACACATCAATTTAGAAGTTTATTTTTTTTTTAACGGGACTGTTACAGTGATGTTTATTTACCCGTTAAATATGTATTATATTTTTTTAACAATAACACCAAGGTTTGGTTTTTACACATTACGATTCTTTTGTGATTGTTTATAAAATAGGATTTTATGTGTGAAAACAATCAAAAACACTATGGAATGAATGTAAATAAATTCACACATGAATGTAAATTGGAGTGTAAGCAACGACTGTTGCTTTGACAGTCTTTAATACAGTCTAATTACAGTTCCTTGCTCTCACACAGTTATCAGAGGATCAAACAAGAAATGAGTCTCTCTCTTCCCTTTTCTCTCTCACTCACACTCACACACTTCCTCACTCACGACATATTTCATTAAATATATCTACATATGTATCATCATTCTCTCTCTCTCTAAACACTCTGGGTATACCCAGCGATATAAAAGTAGAATATAACCAAATGCACAGGTACAAAAAATCTATTCCTACAGTCAGCGATCTCTTGCTAGGGGAACACGGACCAATATCATACACAACTCTCCCCCTTCTTCAGGAGCGGGGTGCTGGGGGCATCGTCCTCACAACTCAGGTGTCTGGCGAAGGACACCCTCTTCCTGTCGGTGTTGTGGTAACCTGTAGGAGGCGGTAGCTGGCTGCTCTCCTCCACCTCCGGACATGACAACTGCTGGGGGCCCAGCACGAAGTGGCAGCCGGAGGTTGCCGGAGGTGGAGGGAGGGCGGAGGCTCATGGAGGTAATGTGGAGGCAGGTGGGGCGTCCTGAAGGTAAGCAGCGTTGTGATGGAGGTACCCCCTGGTGGTGTAGCAGCCAGGGGGGTCCTCTGCAAGCCCAGAAGCTGATGAAGACGGGTTAGTAGCCTCGGCCCCGCTGTACTTGCCCGCGCTCTATGGCATGTAGGTGGATGTAAGTAAATGTAGGTGGGTATATGTGGGTGTAACGGGGTGTAAGTGGGTGTAGGGGGGTGTAAATGGGTAAAAGTAGGTGTTCGTGGGTGTAAGCGGGTTTAGAGGGGTGCACGTGGGGTATAAGTGTGTGTGTAGGTTGGTTTACGTGTACATGTAAGTGGATGTAGGTGGTGTTCATGGGGAGTATATGGGTTTAGATATGTGCATGAAAATATTAGTGGGGTGTAAGAGGATGTATGTGAAGGTGAATGAATGTCGATGGTTAAACGGGTGTAGATGCATGTAAGTGAACGTAGGTTATTATAGGTCGCAGAAGGTGGGTTTAAACACATGTAAGTGGTGTAGGTGGGTGTAAGTGGTGTAGGTGGGCGCATGTCGGTGTGACGGGGAAGAAAGACATAGGGATTAGACGTCTATTTAACCCAAGGAACGTGGAAAGATTTACAGAAGGAAATCCAAACACCATCACTATAACGTTATGACTTAATGCACCTGCAAAACCTCAATCAGCTTTCGAGAACCATTGCCAACACGCCATCAATGTTTACACTGATGGCCAAATTGGATGGTGATTCTCACTGTTATTGTTTCATTTAAATATTCATGCAGCGCGATATGATAGATCCATATGCAAATGCCAAAACAATAATGATCTTACGCTATTTATCACGAGAAAGTGGCTAAGCTACTATGATTTGAGTAGTGTGCAGAGCAGGGCAGTGCAGAACCACACTGGATACATCAATACAGTATAGAACTACAAGGCTACATGAAAGCAGTGTAGCACTACAGTGGATACATCAATACAGTATAGGCTTACAATAGCTATATCAAAGCAGTATAGGACTACAGTATATAAATCAATGCAGAATAGTACCACAGTGGATAAATCAATGAAGATTATCACTACAGTGGATACATCACGATGGTACAGCACTGCAGTGGATACATCAATGCAGAACATCACTACAGTGGATACATCAAAGCAGTACATCACTACAGTGGATACATCAAAGCAGTACATCACTACAGTGGATACATCAAAGCAATACAGCACTATAGTGGCTATATCAAAGCAGTACATCACTACAGCGGCTACATCAATGCAGAACAGCACTACAGTGGCTACATTTATGCAGAACAGCACTTCAGTGGCTACATCAAAGCAGTACAGCACTACAATGCATAGAACAAACCCTACCAATGCAGTAACTATATAACAGAAGAATGCATATTGAGCAACAACGCACCTGGGAAGTAACGTAGGAGGGATACTTGTAGCCGTCCACGGGAAGTAACGTAGCTGGGGGTGGTGGAGCAAGTCCCCTCCCCACCACCTCTCCCCCACCAACACGACACTGGTGTTGGGGAATAACGTCCGGATCTGCGTCGCTTTCCGTGTCCACCTGCTTGGGTAAGGGGGACGAGGAAGACATCAGCACCCCAGTAGAAGTTGTTGCAAACATAGTTGCAGAAATAGTTGCAGGATTAGTTATAGTAATTCTCGTTGTCCGGAACAGGACGCCGTGCACTTTGGCTTATTGAGGTGCCTCTCACCTGAGGTGCCAACACCTTCCTGGGTGTTAGCCAGCTGTCACGGGCTGCTTCCTGGGGGTGGAGGCCTGGTCGAGGAACGGGCCGCGGGGACACTAAAGCCCCGAAATCATCTCAAGATAATCTTAAGATAAGACTAAAGGCCTCCTGCCTGCGTCACCTTGGCTAATGGCTCGTGTTATGGTAATGACTGATTGCTGGCACCAGGTGTTGTGTTATGACGGTATTTGATCAAAGAAGTTATAGAACTACGAGGAAAACGAGCAAACTAGGACGTTATAGATCTCAAGAGGGATATGATCAGACTAGGAAATGATAGACATTACGAAGGAAATGATAACACGTAATAATATTATAGAAACGTGCAAGAAATAGAGTGCTGCATTTTCTTGTTCACCTTCACCAATGCATGCAAATGTGTCTTGGTTACTCGCATACACATTGGAATCACAATAGCGTAATATATCTCTAAGACACGGGTTCGATTCCACCGGCCAGCTCCTAAGATTTTCTCCTACGTTGAAATTATTTTGATTTGACTAAACAAAGACTTATATAAAGTCTTTTTGCCTACAAAGGCCCTCTCTGCCACGAGAGGAAATAACTATGAATAACTTTGGAATAACAGTTTAAATATGATCAGCCATTACGTGAGTGAATATGTTTTAGGTGTGTTCTTGGTATATAGCTACTCAGTTTAATTATTTCTATGTCTGTGTGAATGCTTGCCTGCTGCTCTCTCTCTCTCTGACTCTATGTCTCTCTGTTTCTCTGTCTCTCTCTCTCTTTCTCTCTCGCTGTCTGTCTCTATCTGTATATCTCTCTCTCTCACTGTTTCTGTCTCTATCTCTGTCTCTCTCTCTCTCTCACCAACCTGCATCTCTCTCTCCAGACAGGCGCTGTCATGTTCCGGCGTCAGGATGGAGGAGGTACGACTGCTTCTTGTAGACCTGTCGTGATGGAGATCAACCATCTTCTTGTGGTGATGAGTATCAGCGAGGGAGAGAAGCTGGGGCGCTCTTCTCCGGCGGAAGGTGAGGAAGAGCAGCAGTAGGATCACCAGGAACACCAGACCGGAGCCAACACCGAGCGCCACCAGCAGGAGGGACGGCAGTGCTAGGCTTCCGAGGGCCTTATCGTCGACAGCCTTTTCATCGTCATCGTCGTTGTCACCTTCTTCGGGATCCTTGGTCTCTGTAGCGCCAATTTTACCTCCGTCACGGACTTCGGCCTCAGAGGGACCGTCTGAAAACAAATGTTTGCTTATCATTTGTTTAAGCCTGCCTCCCCTTCGTTAATATTTACTCTCTCTCTCTCTCTCTCTCTCTCTCTCTCTCTCTCTCTCTCTCTCTCTCTCTCTCTCTCTCTCTCTCTCTCTCAATAAGCCGAAGGAAATCAATTATCTTTGAATAACTTTTTATATATTTTATCGTTAAATTTGTGTTCAATAATCATCACATAACCTCTAATAACTAAATAAACACAGCAATAGTACATCCCACAACAAGGGAATCCTACTAACCACACAGACTTCCACAAGCTACCGGCATCCTGTCACGATTGAAGCAACTAGATGTAAAGTGGCTTCAATTGGTGTAAAGTCAGTGTAAATTCAGGTAACCGCAATGAATCACACAAGCGATTGTGTGATTATCACACAAAATTGTCAACCACTAACCATACAGCTGATAGACGGAGCCGTTGGTTTGACCGCTGGTAACGGTGAGAAGGACAGACTCGCTGGAGCCCTTGGAGTTGACGGCCATTATGGTAAGGTGGTACGTCTTACCCACCTTCAGCCCCTCTACCTGTGAGGAATCAGTACTGATATAATACACTAGTAACTCCTAAAAAACATTTAACGTTTTCTTTAGTAGATATTATTGAAGAAAAACTTTTATTGGTGGTAAGCATTAATAAAAAGGCTGAAATATTGTACACAACATCGTTACAAAATTACGGTACAGTGACTGTAAATTTTGTTAAGGACACGAATTACACACATTTAGTGGTGTTGGTGACGGTACTGTCGTAGGGGTGACTAGTTTAATTGCAGGTCAGTGAGGTACATAATGGCTTAGCAAGGCACAATTAACCCGCTCACCTGAAAGATCGGGAGGGCGTTGGCGGTGAAATTTAGGGTTTGATGTTCCTGGTGGAGGCGTGCCTGTAGGAGGAAATGTTGGGGAAGGCCTCCGCTGCCACCAGCTAAGCAAACTACCCTGACGGATGTGGACGTTCCTCGCCCCACGGTGCAGTTGCTTGGAGCCTCCGGTTTACCTGTAGAAGAGCTGGACGTACGGTGGGGGAAGCTACAGAAAACAGGAAACACTTTTTCACCATAGGGTTATAAACCCATGGAACCGCCTACCTGCCGAAGCCAGGTAGGCGGAGCAATACCAGAGCAATACTTCGGTATAAAATCCAGTTGGAAAAAATCTTCAGGAACAATGTTCCTTACGAGGACACTAGAGAGATGGTAGTCCGCAGGAAAATTCAGGTAAGATTAAGATGAAGAAATGGTGCCCAACCACTTGGATCATCGGGGATCGAAGATAGATCTTGCAAGATGCAAGGCTGTCACTACCGACCAGCCTTGCATCTATTTATAAAATGATAAATAGATCAATTTATGATCTATTTGAGTAACATCAAACTGCATCTTCCGTGCATTGATTCCTGCATAACAATGATCTTAACAATCTTCCTGCTCGTTAATAACTAATAAATTGCACACCATTTCCCTATTTTTTTGTGTACAAACATTAATAATGTATCAGAGATCGACGTACTAGCGAGGAGCTCACCTGCAGGGACGATATAAAAGACGCAGGGCTTCCTCTGGACGCCGATGGCGTTGGTCGCCCAACACAGAAGCGTCCCATAGTCCAGAGACGTCATGGGCATGTAGGTGATGACACTGTGACTCTTGGTGGAGGTGTAGCGTCCTGGGGGCACGTCTATGGTGTCGGCCGTATTGTTAAAGATCCAGCGGAAGGACGTCTGGATGGGGTTGGCGTCCACGGCGCAGGTGACTTCAGCGTCCTCGAAGCGGCCGACGGCGTAGGTGGTGATCTGGCCGGGCGAGCATACCGGGGCATCTGAGGCAATAATAACAACAAAAAAAAGTTGCTTCACAAGCAGGATATGAGTCACAATAACGTGGCTGAAGTAGTTTGACCAGACCACACACTAGAAGGTGAAGGGACGACGATGTTTCGGTCCGTCCTGGACCATTCTTAAGTCGATTGAGAAACGTCGTCCTCCCTTCACCTTCCAGTGTGTGGTCTGGTCAACTTGCTTCACAAGTCATGTTAAAAACGGAAGTGACTTGTCACACAGATGATTGAGGACGACTTGTCGATGACTTAGTAGATAACTGGGGGACAACTTGACATGACAACATATGTTTGGGACTTACTTTCAAGCTCATTTATATAATATTTAATCTCAGATATAAGCCATGAGTACAGTTTGAATGTCTTTTTCAATGCAATGAATCATAATCATTATAAAAAAGTTACATAGTATAATTGTATATTTATTAGCTAACTTATTTTACTACAGTATTATTATGTTTCTATTTGTGGGTCCTCATTTAGGTTAGTTTCGAGCAAATTTAGTACACGAGTTTAGTGACGTTTGGGAACGCTGGAGAGGGGACGGACCTGTACTTGACCCTCTACTTCTTCCCCTCAAGGCCTCGCTAAGCTCTCCCGTACTGAACACATATCGTTGTTGTTTTAGATTCAGCTACTGGGGAACAAATAGTTCCAAGTAGCACGGGCTATGGTGAGCCCATGAGGGAACTTACATGGCACAGGAGCGAGGCTGAGTACCTTTTATACTCACACTTGATATCCAGAATTATGGCGTTGGAGACGCCCTCGCCCACGGCGTTGCGGGCGTGGCAGGTGTACCGGCCCGCCTGTGCCCGCTGCAACTCCTGCAGCACCAAATTTTTCCCGACGACGATGACACCGCCCCGGACGTTGTGTTCCAGCGTCCGATTCTGTGGATGGAACGCGGGTACACACAAGTGACATTTAGGGCCTGGCCAGCGAACGCGGGCAGCTGTGTCAACAGTTTTTCAAGAGGTAGAGAATACCAGGTTAATCTTCGTCATCATGAAGACAGTTATCTCATGTAGTTAAATAATTTCTTTACTCAAAGATTCCCTTATATACCGATTTTAACAATACATTTTGAACCTTCAATCACATGTACACTGTGGAATAACTACACATACTGTTTTGACAGAAAACTAGATATGTCGAAATGCCTGTGTACGCTTTAGACAGAATCCCACACTGCATGGGTTCTATAGAGATAGAAAAGATCTGGTTGAGCCTGGCTGTGAGAGTGCTGTGAGCCAGCAGGAGAGGAGACTCACATTGTGCCGCCAGGAGACCTGCACCACGCTGGGGTTGGCGACGAAGGAGCACTCGAAGTACACATCGTCTCCCTCCTCGATACTGCTGTGGCGTATAGACCGCCCCAAGTCGCAGCTTACTACTGGCACGTCTGGCAGTGGTGTGATGGTGTTGGCAGGGGTGTGGTGGTGTTGGCAGGGGTGGGGTGGGATGTGGTGGTGTTGGCAGGGGTGGGGTGAGATGTGGTGGTGTTGGCAGGGGTGTGGTGGGATGTGGTGGTGTTGATAGGGGTGTGGAGGGATGTGGTGGTGATGGCAGGGGTGGGGTGGGATGTGGTGGTGTTGGCAGGGGTGTGGCGGGATGTGGTGGTGTTGGCAGGGGTGTGGCGGGATGTGGTGGTGTTGGCAGGGGTGTGGCGGGATGTGGTGGTGTTGGCAGGGATGTGGAAGGCAGTAGTGGGGATCAAACACATTAAAAATACTTGCCACTATGTAAAATACCTTATTTATCATTAATTACTGTAGCGAATCAAACAGAATAAGAACAGTGTTCATTTCTCTAAGCAGAATTTTCTAAAACAAATTTCAAAGAATTCTATAAACTCATTTGCATACGGGCCATATATCTCAAAGTGAGGCCCAAGAGCAGTCATAATTCTAAACGATGGGAAATCACAGGATATAAAATATACCATAGACAAGAACTTGGGTTATATTGATAGTCAAATGGTAAACCTTTTGTGGTTGAGGGGCTACGAACTGACCAGTGTAGGGGCTACGTACTGACCAGTGTAGGGGCTACGTACTGACCAGTGTAGGGGCTACGTACTGACCAGTGTAGGGGGCTACGTACTGACCAGTGTAGGGGCTACGTACTGACCAGTGTAGGGGCTACGTACTGACCAGTGTAGGGGGCTACGTACTGACCAGTGTAGGGGCTACGTACTGACCAGTGTAGGGGCTACGTACTGACCAGTGTAGGGGGCTACGTACATTCCACTGTCAGGTTATAGGTGTCTTCCATAACGGACGGAGCAGCGAAGGTCTCGGCGACACAGCGGAGAGTCGAACCATGGTCCTCAGGTCTTGGGGTGAAAGCTAGGGTGCTGGTGGTCACATTGCCGTCTGCTGAGGTCTGTAGGGGCAGGGAAGGGTGAGAGAGAGAGGGGGAGAGAGAGAGAGAGAGAGAGAGAGAGAGAGAGAGAGAGAGAGAGAGAGAGAGAGAGAGAGAGAGAGAGAGAGAGAGAGAGAGAGAGAGAGAGAGAGAGAGAGATAGAATCATAAGGTGGCAGAAAAAACCGGAACTAAATATAAAACATGTTAAGGGATATTTCTCAGGTCAGAGGCGGTGCCAGTGGCACCAGTGTCAACAGTGCCACTCGTGCCAAGGGCCACCTGTAAGACATTTAAAAAGCAGTGAAATTAGAGGAAAAAATTATGGGGCTGTATAAAGAAATTAAGACTAAAACATTAAGCTGTCATGTTGTGTGGAATCACATGAATGTACTCATACAAAATTATATCAAGAAATATCTTGTAAAAGAATGAATGTTGTGATTGTTTATGAACATCATAAACAATTAAATATTGTATGAAGGAGTTAAATGGGGAAAAAAAATAAGTTTGTGAAGGAAAAAACCCTGAAAATAATGGTGCCAAACTTAATTTTTAAAGAACTTAGAACGAAACCCATAAAAAATGAGGTGATTTATAGTGTATAAATACATTATTCACCTAATCTTTGGGTAAGGTTTTCAAAACTGCTTTACTTACCAACAGGAGAATCTAACAGGAAGAGATAGGGCTCTGTGGCCCAATAGAACCACGACACTTATCCCAAGACGTCGGAATACTCCCTGTGTTTTATCGTATGGTCAGAAGCTCGTCTACACAAACCCCTCACAACTGATCTTCTCATCTCCACCACAAGAAAATACTCAAACGAAGACAATGTACTATAAAAGTAAATGATTTTTTTTAATATAAATACTGAAATGAGGAAGATAATATAAAAATGCCATTCATTTAATATTAACATTTAACAGTACTGACGAAGCTCACAAGGAGAGCTGTTAATTCATTGATTAATTTAATTTGATTTGAATCAAATTGTGGATCAAATAATTTGAATCAAATCAAATTGAAATCAAATCAATTTTGAATCAAATCAAATTTGAATCAAATTAATTTGATTCAGTGATTTAATTAATTTGAGGCTGTGGCAAGCGGACGTCTTATTGGCTGTCTTGGGTAGTGACGTTTGTTCTTTTTGCTTATTGGTTATTCGAGCGATGACTGGATGATGACGTCGGGCACCTACGTCATCAAGCCAGGATATCGGAGTGTGATAGAGATAACCACTATGGAGATACACACATCTGGACTACCAGCCTCTCCTGTGGAGGTCCGGGTGAGGCGGACTATACGAGTGTACCCACAAGGTAAATGACCCCGGGGAGACCACGTCTAAGGTCCTCATGAGAGACCAGAGCGAGTCACACCGACTCCTACAGCTCAGAGCCATAGTAAGCCAAGACGATGACTTTTCCCCTGACCATTTAAATGACCGTGAGACCTTTTAAGACAGCTTGACATACAACCCCCTCAGACAACTAAGCTTACTACACCATCTGGCAGCTGGGCTTACAATCCCCTCAGACAGCTGGGCTTACAATCCCCTCAGACAGCTGGGCTTACAATCCCCTCAGACAGCTGGGCTTACAATCCCCCTCAGAGAGCTTACCTTACCACACAATTAACCACTCTCCTCTGACGTCAACAACGTAACCGGTTGCATAGGTAAACTTGCCCACCGGCTCAGCGCCTTCTCCATACTGCACCAGCTGAAACACTCCGAGAGAGAGCTCGAACCCGGGTCCACTAGGACGGCGGCAGAGTGCCATAACCACCGCAGCCGCAAGCATTCGCGGGACAATTGCTGGCTGCATTACCATCAGAGGCAAGGACCGCGGGCCACTTTACGCAGCGACGCGATAATTACCGCCATAACGGCTGTTGTGGTTGTTGGGTAGTTAGTGTAACATGGCGGATACTGCATGTGGGAGGGGAGAAAGGTACAAGTTTATGTTTATAGGGAGAGAGAGAGAGAGAGAGAGAGAGAGAGAGAGAGAGAGAGAGAGAGAGAGAGAGAGAGAGAGAGAGAGAGAGAGAGAGAAAGGTGAAAGAGAGGGATGAAAAAGGTGAGAGGAGAGTAAACGGAGAGACAGAAGAGGGGGAGAGAAAGAGAGAGAAGATAGGGAAGGAAGGAAGGAAGGGAATGAGAAGAGGTGAAAAGGAGAGAGGACGAGAGGGAGGAGGGAGGCAAGTTGGTCGGTAATGAGAGAGAGAAGGGAAGGGTAAAGGAAGAGAGATAGAAAGGGAGAAGGAGAGAGAAAGAGGGCAGAGAAGATAGATGAGAGAGAGAGAGAGAGAGAGATGAGGGGAAGGAATGAGAGAGGAGGGAGAAGAGGGAAGTGAGAGAGAGTGAAGAGAGAGAGAGAGAGAGAGAGAGAGAGAGAGAGAGAGAGAGAGAGAGAGAGAGAGAGAGAGAGGGGAGGGGAAAGAAGGGGAAAGAAGGGGTGGGAGAAGAGGGGGGGAGGAAGAGAGATAGAGATAAAGATTGGAGGAAAAAAAGGGAGATTAGGAAGTAGACAATTAACGTTACACTTTACGAAACGAGGATAGAGAAAAAATATATATGTGAAGAGAGAATTCCTGGAGTGGGTAATGGGGTAGACGGAAGTGGGGAGGGCAGGGAGGAAGGGCAGGGAGGAAGGGCAGGGAGAAAGGGCAGGGAGCAAGGGCAGGGAGCAAGGGCAGGGAGCAAGGGCAGGGAGCAAGGGCAAGGAGCAAGGGCAGGGAGGAAAATAAGGAAACAAAATAACTGTCTTAACCATCAAGCGTAAAAAAAATAACACCACTGGCTGTAAGTAAGGCTGGAACAAGGCTTATAATAACTGAAGACTTAAATTGATTAGATTTAGACTGGAAAGCTGGAATCCGTTTGATGTGTATCGATAAGGACTTAAAAACTGCCTGGATTAGGAAATGGTTCATTTCCTAAATCAGCCCATTAAAGATCCGGCAAAAAATCAAGGTAAGTTTGGATGCGTTTTTCTACCTAAATTAGACTTGAAAAATATGTTGTGTGACGACCGAGTGGAAACATGTCTTAAAAAAAGCGGAAGAAAAGGGACCAGTAGACCATCACCCGGAAGATAATACTGTGAAGGAAAGAGAGATTTCTTACCTGGAATACAACGAGAAATTATTGAAGCCATTCAGTAGGATCGAACCGGCGTTCCCGAGATTCTCATAGATATATATATATATCCCAGGCTTGTGACTTCATTGTGCGAGAATACAATGTGAGAATAAGCTCAGCGGACCATCCTCACAGGCAACGATGGATTATACGCAAGTGTGTGTGTGTGGACAGAGGCGCAGGATCAGTCTATTTATTCGACCAACACGGCAAAGAGGCAAGAAAAGTTAGAAGTATTAGACCCAGTAAGAATAGCACAGCACAATGGGTGTCTGAAAGGAAGGTGAAACGAAAATAATCTGATAGCGACTTGCAAATAATGAAATATTAAATCCAAGCTGCTTCAAAATCACACCAGAAAGATAGTGGCAAAAGATAAGGTGATTAGGCTGGAAAAAAAATTGGAGATATACTCACAGAAAATGATCTGGAAATATGTAAGAAAATAAATTAAATGTTAAAACATTTCTGTACAACTGAACTAGAGAATCTTCCAGAGCTAGGAAGAGGTCGATTTAACCAAGCAGATTAAGCGTTTACTAAATTAATCGTGAAAATTAATATGGCTTGGAGTGAATTAAGACACCTGAGAGGAGATCACAGCTTCCAAAATTTCCCCCTGAATACTGAAAGAATGAACTAAAGCCATGTGCAAGCCTTTCACCAAAATATCCAACAAGATGACGGAGACAGGAACAACTGTTTGGATAAAAAAGGGAACAATAATGGAGAGGACGGGCGTAAGAGGAAGTAAGAGAGAGACAAGGAGAATGGGGAAGAAGGGAAGGTGGGGGAAGAGACAGTGGAACATCTGGAAACGCAGGATATTCATCACTGAACTCCAGAACGTTTAAGAATTGCAAATTCTGAGCTACGAGGACAGGCTAAAAGAGATAAACCTCCCACTGAATGTGGAACGAAAACGAGAGTCCGAGACCAGAACGAGCAAGCACAATTAGAAGTTATAGTCCGGAATGTTTTAGATAAATAAAAAAACTTCTTCAATGTGAGGGGTATTGTACGAGAGGAAAGCACGAGGGGAAAGTGGTAGTGGAGGCGAATTGTAAACACAAGTTCAAATGTAAATATGAAGAGACCAAGGAGGGGTCCCGGGGGGGGGTGGGAAGGGGAGTCATAATGAAAAATTAATGGCTGAGCGGCGGGAGGAAGTGTTGCAGCGCAGTCTCCGAAAAGACGATTATTTTCGTGAATCTACGTTAAAATATTAATTGAATTTCGTTTTCTATCCGTAACGATGTTTAAAGATTTCCTTTTGAGATTAAGTATTACTGCTGGTGAGATATCTAATTTATGCTACTTGTTTACCTGTGATATCTCAAATTAACAATTAAGCTAGTTTGCGTGTGCCATAATATTGCGAATGTGCAATCTATAGGCGTCATACCACTCAGAAGCAAAATACAATGGAGCCCGGCAAAGGGTTTCATTTTATTTCCAATTTACATTTTCTTTGCATACATTTTCCTTGAAATTTCTGAATGCTATCAGTTAACCCGCTTTCTTTGAACATTCTGATTGGTATCTGTTGACCCATTTTCTTTGGAGTCAACTTTATTAAATGTCTCAGATATCTTGGAAACCCTCACTTTAAAAGAGAATGGTTTATTGCAGGGATCACAGGAGACCTGCAGAAGGTGGAATAGGCGGCCTGCAGCGCCTACCATACCTGAAATGGGTTCTGAGAGTTCTACACCCCAGGAACCAGATTCATGAAACAGTTACGCAAGTACTTAGGAACGTGTACATCTTTCCTCAATCTTTGGCGGCTTTTGTTACATTTATTGAACAGTTTACAAGCATGAAAACTTCCCAATCAACTGTTGCTATTGTTATAAACAGCCTCCTGGTGCTTCGGAGCTCATTAACTGTTAAATAATTGTAAACAAAGCCGCCAAAGATTGAGAAAAGATGTACGGGTTCGTAAGTGCTTGGCGTAACTGCTTCGTGAATCTGCCCCCAGGCCCGGCCTTGGACTGCGTATAACGACCCATATTGCGTTGTCCTCGCCTCCTTGCCACGGCTTCTCATGTCCTCGCCATGTTGTGTCTTGAAGGAGAAACCCCTAAATTTATCTTCGCAACTCGTCAACATATTCTGGACGTGAATCTGTTATACTCAAATTCTATGTCAGTTGAAATGTAACCAATCACAGGCAAGTAGGCCTCTGACGTCATGCCAGACAGAGGAGCATCAAGCCATGCTTCCAGCAGCCTCAGTTATCCTCACAGACTCAGAGTAGAAGGACCTCGGCTAGGCCAGATATATACCTATAGTAACTCTCAATAACTCTCGCTCAGCTGTTGTCATGCATCGTTCACACAACAGTGCAAAACAGGCTAAATGCCAGAGGTTAAAAGGGCAGAAACGAACAAAATTGAACTAAAAGTAGAAATTTTGTTTACGAATTATGCTCTTATTAGAAAATGAAGTAATTTTGTATATTATAATTGGGTAATAATTAATAATCCGTTCTGGATGTAAATAAAATATAAAATGTAGTGTATTATTTTGCAATATTTAGGTCTATATGAAAAATTGCCTTGCTATAGTGCCTCCTATATTGACTAATATGGTATAATTGGTACTGATCCATTTGGTACAATATCTGGTACTCTCTTGGGTGGTACGTATCTTATTGGCATTATTAAGGTACTGATCTTGCTGGTACAAGTTTCTACTGGGCTCAATGGTACATTTATCTTGGTACTGATGTTGTAGATCATCTCTCCATAAGTACCGACCTTACCAGTACCATCTTAACCGCTTTTCAAGTACACCTGGCACCGGTACTCACAGGTACTCTTGTAGCATACGTGATACCGGACTTTTTTGGTACTCTGTAAGTATTGTGATCAGTATTATCAAGACAATAAGAGTGACTAGTACCTTCTGGTACTTCCGTCCTGGCTGTCACTTACCTTGCTGGTAATGACCTAGCTGGTACTTTCCTGTCTGGTACTGACCGTGGGTGGTACTGACCGTGACCTCGGCCTGTAGCAGCTGCAGGTGATCTGTCCACCAGGTAATGACGGGAGGTGGACGGGCGCCCACTACCTGACAGCAGATCTGGTACTGCTGTCCGGCCATCAAGGGAGCCTTCTCCGGGGGTTCGATATCCACTGTCAGGGGAGGCACTGGGGTGGTGTGTAGGGGAAGGTGTATAGAGGTAGGGGAAGGGGAGAAGGTGAAGAGAAGCATGGGGGGAAGGATTAGGTGATGTTGATTGTTAGGGAAGGGGGGGTAGAGAACAGACAAAAGGGGGGGGGAGGGAGGGAATTAATATCAGGCTACGTAGAATTAAATAAAATTTTGAGTGGAGTTCGCAAACAATAAAGACGACCTCAAACTTAATCAAAATTGTTTGTGGAACGTTTTTTTGAGTCTTTTTGAAACAATTCGCGTAACTTTATTCCATTTGTAAGTGGTAGTTTTGTTTGTGTTCGTAGTACGATAATTATTCATCAACAAATTGATGCTAATTAACATACAATGATCTCAAGAGTTCATACCAGTTCAAAGAGATGATTCAAATTTTTTTTCAAATTCAAAATTTGTTTCAAACGTGAGATTCGTTACTTACGGTTCAAGTCGACCTCAACATCGAGCGAGGGAGGTTGGGTGATGTTGTTATTGGCTGCCTGACAAGTCAGCACCATCTGGAGGTCTTCACGGGTCAGAGGCCCCAGAGTGAGCGTGTTATAAGGCTCTCCTCCGTAAGCGGTGATTAGCTCCTCCCCCCTCGCGTTGGGCCCCGGGTCAAGCGTAATGGCGGAAGTGAACCCCGGAACGAGCGTAGTGGCGGAAGCGCGCCCCAGATCGAGCGTAATGGCGGAAGCGGACCCCGGGTCGAGCGTTGTGGAGGTTCCCAGGCCCGACTCTAGCGTAGTGGCTTCGTTGGGAATCCCTTCATTGACTTCTGAATTAGTGTCATATTCCGTAGTGTTTACCGAAGCGGAGGATTCCATGTAGCCGTCGTAGAGCTGAGAGTCCTTGTACCATGCCACCTTCGGCCGGGGGCTTCCTGCAAGCGTGAAAAATAGATCCAAATAAAACAGTTGATGATGTGTTGGCAATAACGTGGCTTCACTGGGTGTAAACACCTTTTATACGCGTCGTGTAAACAAGAAATATTCCCAGTAAAAGATCTCTCTCATCCTGTGGCAATAAAGATGAAATACTTACTACGCGCACTTCTTATGCAGCCATAAGATGGAAAACTAGACGAGTTTCAAGTCTTACGCCTGTTTAATTAATAGAGATCTCCAACAATTGAGAGAGAGAGAGAGAGAGAGAGAGAGAGAGAGAGAGAGAGAGAGAGAGAGAGAGAGAGAGAGAGAGAGAGAGAGAGAGAGAGAGAGGGCCACTCATTCAGCAGAAGGGAAGGCAAGACTGTGCTGGCAGAGACCCAAGACAAACTGGAATTGCTAATGACTTTATGATACCGTCCTGGGCCTACTTTACCTTCATGCTGCCATACCTTCCTCCACCTGTTTACTCCTCTGGCACTGTTCTCTATCCCCCCCTGCCTGTGGCACTGTTCTCTATCCCCCCTGCCTGAGGCACTGTTCTCTATCCCCCCTGCCTGTGGCACTGTTCTCTATCCCCCTGCCTGTGGCACTGTTCTCTATCCCCTCTGCCTGTGGCACTGTTCTCTATCCCCTCCTGCCTGTGGCACTGTTCTCTATCCCCTCCTGCCTGTGGCATTGTTCTCTATCCCCTCCTGCCTGTGGCACTGTTCTCTATCCCCTCCTGCCTGTGGCACTGTTCTCTATCCCTTCCTGCCTGTGGCACTGTTCTCTATCCCCTCCTGCCTGTGGCACTGTTCTCTATCCCTTCCTGCCTGTGGCACTGTTCTCTATCCCCTCCTGCCTGTGGCACTGTTCTCTATCCCCCTCGCCTGTGCAGAGAACACACACACACACACACACACACACACACACACACACACACACACACGCACACACACACACACACACACACACACACACACACACACACACACACACACAGCCACGCTCTCTGTCAAGAAGTTCAACAGTATATTGCGATTTTAGACTAGTTAGGTAATTGCAAAGGCTCACTGATTTTTATGCGAGGCGGACTTTTTGCTTATCAAGGCGGTCCACATTTGCACAGGAGGGCTGCAACTGCGGAAGTCATTGGGGCGTTAATGAAGAAGAGTGTGGTGGCACGGGGGAACGGATCATCTTAATGAAGAAGTGTATGGTGTTTACGAGGAATGGAACACCATAAAACAACACCTGAATACAGAAATAACTGAGTAAAACGAAAATAAACGAACACAAAATTAAATATTAAATCAAAACTCAGGACCAAATTTAATACAAAAATAAAGGAATAAATGACTCAAAATACACAAGACTAAGTCAATTAGGATAAACATGAGGGCCAACACAGTGCCACACACACTAACAAGCAGAGCAAACAAGCGCCATTAACCACAGTAGCGAGCCGTTCTGGGGAGAAATATCTGAGGTGAGCTCCGCTGGGGGCCAAGTTTGGCACCGAGAACCGCCTGAATTACTGACCTCACTAATTTTTCCTTCCTCGCTAGACAACAACAAAAAGTTCTGCTTACGGGTAAATCGCGAGAAATGGAGAGAGAGAGAGAGAGAGAGAGAGAGAGAGAGAGAGAGAGAGAGAGAGAGAGAGAGAGAGAGAGAGAGAGAGAGAGAGAGAGAGAGAGAGAGACAGACAGACAGACAGATGCAGAAATAGCAACCCCGTTCTCGCACTTTCGTATAGTCAATATTGACTTATTAAATACGTGCATATGTGATATACTAATTTATGGTGACTATTTTAGTTTACCTTGAAAAGCTTCATAGAAAACACCGACCTTACCTAACCTTCTTAGTATGTTAAGATTACCTAACCTATTATAGGTATAGGTTAAGTAATTGCTTCGTAATTACAATTATTACTTAACCTATTATAGGTATAGGTTAAGTAATAATTGTAATTACGAAGCAATAAGATACTTATCTTAACATACTAAGAAGGTTAGGTAAGGTCAATGTTTTCTATGAAGCTTTTCAAGGTAAACTAAAATAGTCACAATAAATTAGTATGTCACATATGCACTTATTTAATAAGTCAATATTGACTGTAAGAAAGTGCGAGAACGGGTTGGAAATAGACAAATACAAAGAGAGAGAGAGACACACACACATAGAGACACAGAGCCAGAGAAATAGAGTTGGGTTCACGCGCTGGGGCGATAAATTCAACACCCGCTCTATTGTCGAAAATCACGACTTTAAAATTCAAGCGCGAATATTTTATGTCTTTTTGCAAGTAACCAATTCAGAAATATTCCAAGACTCTTTGTCTCTCGTCCATAACTCAAGCAGGAAGTTTTAGTCTGTCCTCGACACGATGGTCTCTTGGGGTTGGAAAAGACGGGAATTTATAACTTGAATGGTAAACTGTAGCATATTTTATATATATATATATATATATATATATATATATATATATATATATATATATATATATATATATATATATATATATATATATATATATATATATATATATATATATATATATATATATATATATATATATATATATATATATATATATATATATATATATATATATATATATATATATATATATAAACAGCGAGGACTAACGGGGCTGACAACAGGCCCACACTCGCCTCGAATTAACCTCACAAAAAATATAATGTGATGTGTTAATTCATGTAACAGTATCACCATATTAAATGATACGTTAACTCTTAATAATAAAAGTAATATTTCACTATATTCTCACCAACAATCATTTATAAGAGCATAGACTCACTGGAGATTCTGATGTCTGTGGACATCATGCCAGGAGTCTCGGCTAGTTTGTGGTAAAATGACAAAAATCTCTTTGTACCTGCGAGCAATAGAATTCAACAATGTGAAACGTGTGAGATTTAGTAGCAGAGTGACCTGACGCCTGCTCCTTTAGTCTCCACCGGTCAACGTATCTTGTTGATAGATTCTATAGAACAGAGATATTTTCTTCTTTTTGGAAGTTAATGAATGACTGTGTTTGTCTAATGAACAGGACAGTGATGCGTGCAAGCTGTTTTGAGTTGATCAAGCTGATCTTAGCGGAACTTTGCTGGCAAAACAGAGTATTGACTGATGTGTTAGTCTACTCTCCCTCGTTTCGTAATTAATTCCCATTTTACAAGGTTAATACAGGTCTGGTCTATTAATAATTAGGTTCTGTTTGTAGAACCCTTGATTAGTATTTAATAATAATATTGGAAATTGATTGTTATTGGCACAGTTTTCAATAAACTGCAATTGCAGGTAAATAAAATTAGCCTAACATATTTCAGAGGTCTTCATTACGGTCGAGAATGTAAACATTGCGGGTTAGTGACATTCCACAAAAATACATTTTAATATACATCACATAATGTTTAGATATATGCAGTGCTGAAATTTTTGAAATGCATGACTAGTCAGGAATGTTGTAGGCCATGATAGGCCTATATATCAGAATATATATATATATATATATATATATATATATATATATATATATATATATATATATATATATATATATATATATATATATACTGTATATATATATATATATATATATATATATATATATATATATATATCAGGGAAATTTTTTCTACATTCTTTTCCTACCCACTAATAGGCTTACCTACGTACCTACCTACCCACCTACCTACCTCCACGGGCGATGCAAGTTAGGGAGGGCGTGTCTCCCTCCAGGAAGGGCCCCACCATGGTCCGGGAGGTGCCTCTGGGGGTCTCCTGACCACCCTCGACCACACTCACACTATCCGGGGGCACTGTGGCGGAGAGGGAGAAATGGTGGCTTAGGTGTTGGTGGTGGTGGTGATAGTGATGGTGATGATGTTGATGGTGGTGTTAGTAATGATGTTAGTGATGGAATTGTCAATGGTGACTGATAGTAGTTGGAGATATATATATACATACATAAATTTAATACACATTTCTCTCAATAAATTTATTTGTACCTTTATTTACACACAAACACACACGTACGTAAGAAAAACACCGATTATGCAGCACCAACACGGACTTCACACCTTCTCAAGCACACACACGTTGAAAAGACTTGGAGACGTAGCACCAGACAGGCCCGGAGCTGCGAGGACCGTCTTCAGGAGGTAAATCTCCCGCCCCCACAGGAGGAGCGCGCGCCCAGAGAGGGCAATGACAGCAAGAACAAATGGATGCTGAAAACCCGAGTGGGTCGAAGTGATATAAATATGAACTGGTGCCGCGGGAGGGCAGTGTGGAGGAGGACCTCACTGAAGGAGGAGGGAGCAGGAGCACTCTCGGTGCCCGAATTCAAATGTAAATACATTAAAACCGGAGACATTTTACCCTTACGAGTTCTGGCCCGTGAACTAGAGCTCAACCTTAGGAAACACAGAGGACACTTAAGTGCGTCTGCACACGTAGTTAAGAGGTTAAACAACCTCGATATTAACCACTTCCTCAAGGGGTCTTCCTAGGTCGAACTAATGATCGTCCCCAAGATGCAGCCCGACAACAGTGACCTAACTCCCAGGTATCTATTTACTGCTAGGTGAACAGAGACATTAGGTGAAAGGGAACGTGCCCAACCATTTCTGTCCTTTCCAAGTCGTTACGCGTAAGTGATGCCAAGGAACACGTCCGTCACCGGAGAGTATTAAACTGCCTGGTCGCTGCTGCAAGGACACCGGCCATTACACGCCTGAGAAAATGTGGGTTCCTTCAATAGTTTGGCGAGGAACTTCCTCCATTCCACACACCCCGACCACATGCACCCCATCACCCCATCACCCCACCCCCACTAGCTACACTCCCCTTCCCCCACAACTACATGCTCCGTCCCTCACTACAACATCCTCCTCTGCCACCACAATACACTACATCCCACGCTGCCACAGCCTCGACACCATACACAATATTCTCCACCCCCATCACCACCACACACTCGGCCCCCACCACCACACACATCACACCACCACACACACCACCCACCAACACCACACACCACCCCACCACCACACACACACCACACCACCACACACCAACACACCCCCTCACCCTCATCAATTGCATCTTGGTGCCCAATTAATCAGAGTGACCCAGGCGTCCTCCACACCGGTATTGGGTCTGGCTGGCTTGAAAGGAACTTGAAATCCGGAGAAGAAGTGAAAGGGCAGACGCTTTAAGAGCGCTGGTCACTTACTTGTGTGGGGAGCAGGAATTACGAGGGAGAGAGAGAGAGAGAGAGAGAGAGAGAGAGAGAGAGAGAGAGAGAGAGAGAGAGAGAGAGAGAGAGAGAGAGAGAGAGAGAGAGAGAGAGAGACGTACAAACACACAAGAAGGCCACACACACACAAACTGCTTTCAGAAGCATGCCAGAGTGACCTGGAGAGGAGTGCACCCACCGACCACAGTGAGGCTGACTCTGGTGGTCTTGGTGGGTCTGGTCTTGTAGTCGACCCTGCAGGTGTAAAGGCCCTGGTCAGCCCGCGTCACCGACCTCACCAAGAGGGTCGCCCTCGACGGTCCAACCTCCAAACTCGCCCTCGACCCCAGTTGCTGCTCGTCTGACCAGTGCTTCTCCTCAAGACCTTGTAACCGCTCGTCTAGTCTGCCAACATAGGGAATGGGGGTATGATAAAGGGTGGTTCCACATACCTGACAACATATTGGGATCTTGGGGTATGGAAAAGGATGGTTCCACACACACCTGTCAACATAACTCGTTTCCCCCTTGTTAAAACTGTATATATATATTATTAGATTAGGATGTACTAGCTTAGATTAGCCTGTGTAAGGCTCGGTTGGGTTAGGTTAGGTTGTTTAGGGTTAGGTTGGGATAGGTTCAGTTGGGTTAGGTTGGGTTAGGTTTGGTTGGTTTGGTTAGGTTAGGGCAGGTTTTAAAATCGAACCGTTTTGTGTTGAAAGGGACTTATATAAGAGTGAAATAACAAGTGAAATATTTCAATTGGCCGCCTCCCACTATCAACACTGCAGCTTGTCAAAACAGCAAGAGATGTCAAAAGATGTTGGTTTAAGCTTGACAACATTCTGCAGGCTGTCAGCAACGATAACATGTTATCTACAACTATTCAGAATTAACATGCTAGAGGCACCCAGCCACAGCCCCACCCATGCTACTAGCATTACGACAGGTAAGAAGCCATTCTCACCCTCAGACACGCCCTGAGGGGTTCGCCACACTAAAAGAAACATATTTTTCGCTCCTCACCGGCCGGGCCCCTGACACGATGTTGGCCAGGTATACACACTACACATCTCTTTGTTATCATGAAGGATCTGAGGACGAGTATCCTGATGTTGGAGAGAGAGAGAGAGAGAGAGAGAGAGAGAGAGAGAGAGAGAGAGAGAGAGAGAGAGAGAGAGAGAGAGAGAGAGAGAGAGAGAGAGAGAGACAGATAGAGAATGTGAATGTCTCACTGATATTCCCTCGTCCAGTATTGCCACAACAGATCGCGAAGCTGCTTGACATATTGCTTGCCACAACAGTCCCTCCCCCCCCACATCAAGTATTGGTAACCATGTTGTCTGTCTCAAAGCCTGACTGTTTGCCTTTGTCTACGTCACTGTCTGTCTCTGTTCCTGTCGGTGTCAATTGGTTGTCTGTCTGTGTAACACTGTCTAAGCCACTGTCTCTCTGTATCACTATGTTTATTTCACTGTCTGTCAGTTTTTAGGCTGTTTTTCCTTATCTTTCCTTCTCATTTAACCTCTGTTTTGTAATCTCTTTCATAACTTTTGTTGAATTCCCTAATTCACCTGTGTTTTTATATATATATCTATTTATCCATACGTCTACGTTATCTATCCGGCTATTTATCTGTTCTAGTTTATCTTCCTTGTTATCCAGTTATCTATCTTCCCATTTTTCCTGCTGTTTATCCATCTGGCTATTTATCCAGTACTGTATAATGTTGCTATTATCCAGTGTAGTGTTGCTTGTATCAAGTATAGTTTTGCAACTATACAGTGCATAGTTGCTACCGTCTTCGTGTGTACTCACATAATTGTACTCACCTAGTTGTGCTTGCGGGGGTTGAGCTCTGGCTCTTTGGTCCCGCCTCTCAACCGTCAATCAACTGGTGTACAGGTTCCTGAGCCTACTGGGCTCTATCATATCTACACTTGAAACTGTGTATGGAGTCAGATTCCACCACATCACTCCCTAATGCATTCCATTTGTCAACTACTCTGACACTAAAAAAGTTCTTTCTAATGTCTCTGTGGCTCATTTGGGCACTCAGTTTCCACCTGTTTCCCCTAGTGCGTGTGCCCCTTGTGTTAAATAGCCTGTCTTTATCAACCCTGTCGATTCCCTTGAGGATCTTGAATGTGGTGATCATGTCCCCCCTAACTCTTCTGTCTTCCAGCGAAGTGAGGTTTAATTCCCGTAGTCTCTCCTCGTAGCTCATACCTCTCAGCTCGGGTACTAGTCTGGTGGCAAACCTTTGAAACTTTTCCAGTTTGGTCTTATCCTTGACTAGATATGGATATGTGTGTGTGTGTGTGTGTGTGTGGTGTGTGTGTGTGTGTGTGTGTGTGAACGCGCGTGCACTGGCTACTGGCGTTGGAGGCGGGAAGCAGCGTAGCCATGTCATAAGGTGGGAGAGGACAGGGTCGTGGAGGCCGGCTGGTGCTGGTAACAGCCTGCTCTCATGGGTTCGTCGATGCCCCGTGGTGTTGGCAACTGTGAGATGCAGCGTTACCAGAAAATTGAATATCTTCTCCACCTCCTTCCCTTCGCTCCTGGAAACCATATTACTGATCTCTGAGGGACTTTTTAGAGAAAACAAGGGACTCCTTGTTAATTCTATTTTTTTTGAGGGGTCAGAGCCTATTTTCAATTACCAAAAAATTAACACAACCAAAAGGACTTTGCAAGGATTATTTTTAGTGGTAAATCTGCTGATGTTTTGTAAAGTTTCCCAAAAGATAGTATCAGGAAATTAATTTTGCTGCTCTTATATAGTGAGCTAAAACGACTTCCCTCAGGTTATCCTAGGTTGGCTTCTTCAGGATAACCCAGACCTGCTATCTCAGGATATCCCAGGCTGACCTCAGCTCAACGATGATGGATCTCTATCAACAGGCAAATTGGACAGTAACCCGGAGATCGTCCAATTTATAAGGGCAATTATATCTCTGGAAAGGCAGCGTTTGCCGCCACTTTTCAACTCCAATGGGTGGTTAGTGTCCGTCTTCAGGAGGTCACTTGAGGTCATTTGAGGCGGAAACGAGGTCACTTAATGGTCAGAGAAGCACTCGCTCGGAACCACGAGCAAGAAAATGAAATTACGACTGATATTGCCTCGTGTGGTGCGTGGGAGGTGGGTGGTGTGGGCTGGCTGTGGGAGGTATGTGGGTTTGGAGGAGCAGTGTATGTGGGAGGTAGGTATGTGGAGTATGTGGGAGGTAGGTATGTGGAGTATGTGGGAGGTAGGTATGTGGAGTATGTGGGAGGTAGGTATGTGGAGTATGTGGGAGGTGGGTGTGTGCAGCATGTGGGAGGTGGGTGTGTGCAGCATGTGGGTGTGTGGAGTATGTGGGAGGTGGCTGTGTGGAGTATGTGGGAGGTGGGTGTGTGCAGCATGTGGGAGGTGGGTGTGTGCAGCATGTGGGTGTGTGGAGTATGTGGGAGGTGGGTGTGTGCAGCATGTGGGAGGTGGGTGTGTGCAGCATGTGGGAGGTGGCTGTGTGGAGTATGTGGGAGGTGGGTGTGTGCAGCATGTGGGAGGTGGCTGTGTGGAGTATGTGGGAGGTGGGTGTGTGCAGCATGTGGGAGGTGGGTGTGTGCAGCATGTGGGAGGTGGGTGTGTGCAGCATGTGGGAGGTGGGTGTGTGCAGCATGTGGGAGGTGGGTGTGTGCAGCATGTGGGAGGTGGGTGTGTGTGCAGCATGTGGGAGGTGGGTGTGTGCAGCATGTGGGAGGTGGGTGTGTGGAGCATGTGGGAAGTGACTTTAACATGGGAGTGGGTCGACTGTACAGTAAGTGCATTTTTAACCAAATTAATAACTTTATCCTTGAACAATTAAAGTATCATAAAATTCCATTAGGATTAATGTGATCTCCAGTTTTTATTATCTTCAAACTCGGCACAACAGGGCTGACGGCTGACACAACAGCAACAGCATCAACAACAGTTGTGCATCAACAGCAGCATCAAATGCACATTGAGCATCAGATAACATAAGCAAGAGCAGCATAAACAACAACAACAGCAGCAGCAGATACAACACCATATGACACAATGTTATAATGACTATACACCTACAACAAAGAACTACAACCGCTCAAAATCATCAAATACAACAACAGCAAATGCAGATACAGAATTATTACAAAAAAAAGAGTTCAATCTGAATGGCATTTTCAGCCTTCATGAACATCGCAGTAAAGCCGAAAATCAGATTTCCATTCACTCAACACTGGGCGCCTTTCGTGGTCCACTTGTGGTAATCTGACCTGTTTCTCTTCCCGAAGGTTTGCCGTATGTCTTACATACGTGACGCAGAATGTCCTGAGTGAGTCCTCGTTTAGATCCTAGAAAGCTGCTTTCTTCGTTTGCCAGTCTTGCTTATGCCGCTGTTGTAACCTGGTTTGTGTGTAGCCCGTCTTCCTAAGGTCTCCCATCATCAAGAAAACCCCCAGTTTAAAGAATCATCTCCTAACCTACCAGAGGACCCAAAACAGAAAACGGGACAGTACGTCACATTCGCGAGCCGCTTTCATTTTCTAGTACGACAATTTATGGCCGCGTGTAACGCATACGAGCGAAAAGCGACGTTGTTTGTAGGAGAAGGAGGGCAGGTTGTTGTGTGTACCTCTGGGGACAGGTCGGGTTCGGTTGATTAGGGACTGAAGTCCCTAATCAACCCTAAAATCCCTAAAGTCTCTGATGTTTCTCTGTGACTCTTGGAGCGGTATCCCGCCAAGGTGACAGCATTATCTTGACCGTATTGGGAATGAACACTTGCAGGGTGCGTTGGGCAATTCACGTAGTCTTCTAATTTAAATTTTTGTTATCGCAGTCACCCTGCTTTATCATCCTCATTAACGTAATATCATTTAAGTCTCTTTGCTCGACGTTGTTAAAGTACCATATTATCTATAGGATTGTTTTAAACAGGCCATCAATAAAGTTTATAATCACCATATTTAATTAAGGCATGACTCCACAATTAACCATTTTATTTTGACAATCTGTCAAGTATATTTCTAATAGAATTAGATAAGAGAAAAGTACGAATATTGACTTTTTAAAGGAAGAAATAAGAGACTTGATACAGACCTCCGCCAGTGGTATCAAATGCGTTCTGATAACCAAGAAGGACGTAGTCTACCCATCCTGCCTGTTCGTATGTTATCTTAGCTACCATGACATGTTGCTCTTGTTAGTTCCTTGAGCAGGACTTCTCGTCTCGGAAACCTCTTTGGAGTTATTCATTCCCCCCTCCAGATTATTCTCTCTAGTAGCATGCAGGAGACGCATGTGGAAGACGCATGTGGAAGACGCATGTGGAAGACGCATGTGGAAGACGCATGTGGAAGACGCATGTGGAAGACGCACGTGGAAGACGCATGTGGAAGAC